AATGATGAGACTCATTAAAAACAATATGGATCTGATGGCCTGAGAAGAAATAATGGACTGACTGACTTTGCTGCTAAACACTACATCTCCAATCTGTTTGCATTTGTCATGTGTATTCACGCCTGTGTAGTTATACAGCATTGCCATGTTTTTGTGTGTGCATGGTTGCATGTGTGTGCGTACCCCCCTCTGTGCATGTGTGTTTGAGTGTCCAGGGACTGAGATGTGAGTGTGAGCTCTGTGTGTGTGTACATGGAGTAAAAATATCTCACTCTCTCCACTCAGGCAGAAGCATTAGACACACACACACACACACACACACACACACACACACGCTACACACTCAGAGTCTCACTTGCTCTTACTGCTATGGTCTGCCAGTGTGCAAACATGAGCAATTTTATGCTAGCTAGATAAACACAAAACCAAACACCAAGCAGGCATCAGAATTAAAAATAGAGTCAGACGCACATTTCAACTGAACTTTGACACAATGGAGACATCAGGGAAAACAACACTCACATATATTATTTTTTGTGATTGTTTTGTTTTGCTTAAATCTTTTTTAAACTGATCACTATGAGAAATACACACTTTAGACATTTTAGACTTTAAAATGACCAGAAAATTGAATTTGAATTGTACAACTTCTAATGTTGCAGAATAAATGCATTAGAGGACACCCTGACAATTGAATTCCCTCTTCCACACCTAAGACAAAAGGTTTCCCCTTCTCATCAAACAGAGGAGCTTCAGGGGCAGATCCAGATGCAGGCCAGTGTGGCACTGGCACTGCTTAACTCTGATTGGCCCCCTGAAGTGCTCCTGTCCTGTCAGTTGTCTTTTCTTTCTTTTTTAACAAAAACAATAATAACAATAAATATGATATTGTATTCTCTATATGCTGTTTGGGAGTACACAATGTGCTTGAACAAGGAACACATATTCAATGATGTGTGGCTTTGCTCAAATCTACAGAACTAATAGTAAACAAGGAATGACTTAAAGGTACAGTGTGTAGAATTTTGTGATATCTAGTGTTGAAATTGCATGTTGCAGCTGAACACCCCTCACCTCACCCTCTCCTTCCAAACATGAAGAAGAAACTGTGGTAGCCTTTAATTGTCATAAAAACTCAAAATGTGTTCCAGTCTGGACAAATGTAAAAAACATGGTGGCCCCCGTTGAGAGGGTCCCCTTGATGTAAATGTATTTAAATATAAAGGGCCTTTTCTGGGGTAAAGAAAACTACAATTCATATGATTTAGATGAAACGAACTAGTGAAAACATCATGAGAATTATTCTACAATAGGTTTCTGCCAATAGATCCCTTTCACCTAAATCTTAAACACTGGACCTTTAAATGTGATGAATCAGGAATAGTGCATGGAATTAGCCCCTATGTGTAAATTGTGACCCCTTATGGCCGCTGATTTAGAAAATCCTAGATCAGCTACTGATCCGTTGATACTTCAGTGAAATTGATCTTGGCTGAAAATCCCACATCTTCACACAAAGAGGTGACATCCTCAAGCCTTCATGTGAAAAGCTCAAATCAGCAGCTCTTTTAGCAGTGGCTAATCCCTCCTTGCACAGGGAGCGCTTTTTGCCTAGCGCAACCCACATTCATGTTTCCCTCTATTTCTCTGCCTTCTATTCTCGCTCTGACCACAAGCAAGGAGACAAAAATCTCCATGTATTTTTATGACAGTTCCTATTCTACATGCTCTTGTCCATGTATACTGCCTCTCCACACCGCTCATATGTACTCTGCGTGTGTGTGTATTGTCCCATTTGATCAGACATGTCCACCTACAGGAATAGACAGGCTAACCTTTTCCCCGTCTGAGTCACAGATGGTGGACCATCCTCTCAGGAGACAGGGGGAGACAGAGGGAGGGAGAGGGAGACAGAGGGAGACAAAGGGAGGGAGAGGAAGACAGAGGGAGCGAGAGGGAGACAGAGGTCCAGCTCTGAACTGATGGGTCAGAAAAGCCAACGTCCAAACATCCAAACTGTTCATCAGCTACATTCTACAACTAATACCATACCAACCCCATCAAACAAATGTAAACATCATATCATTAGAGGAACAGATGAGGTTAAAGAAAGTAGCACTAAATGGGCACATTAATTAGATAACAAATGAAATAACAACTCTGACTTATAGAGTCAAGTTAAATGGACTGTATTGTATGTATGTAGCACTCTGTCTCAGTCTTATTCAATGTGCCTTACAATTCAGATTAGTACAGCACTTGTATATGCAGTGCTTTCTATCAGACACCATTCATACAGTGTCAGCACAGTCATTAGGGACAATTTGGGAGTCAGTATCTTGTCTATTTCAGACTCTTCATTGACTCCTGAAAGATATCCATCGACTCACAGTCAGTTGTTCACACTAAATGTCACCAAAAAAAATGGTGTAAGAGAAAGAAGATCCAACCCAGTCCACTGAACAACGTCTCGAGCGGGGCAAAGAGCGCCACACACAGTTCAACAAGTTAACGGCGCAAAAAACAACGTTTGACATCCATCCATTATCTATAGCGCTTACACTTTGAGGGTTGTTGGTGAAGCTGATGTAAATCCCAGTTGATCTTGGGCGAGAGGCTGCCCATAAAAGCTTAAATTTCCCCACTCTGTGGTGTTGAACAAATGTTGCATGTTGCACAGTAGATTTAATGAACAGATTTAAAATATACACATTATTTGAATACCTGCAGTAAACATTATTATAACTCACAAAAAGCGTCAGATGATGTTGACGTGTTTGTGGACATTTTGCAGAGTTGTATGAGGAGGGAATGTCAGACACAAAACGTTTTGTGGTACCAGACATTGTAGTTACTGACTGACAGATATCAGAGATGACCGATCACCAGCTGCAGAGCATGTTGGGATTTTTGCCAAAAAATATTTTTTAAACAATACCTGACAAAGAGGTGAACTACCTTGCTATACTGATTTAGCTTATATAAACATCAGTGATGCTCACGGTCACCTGCCTGACACAGGTGGACAGAGATGTTTGTTTAAATGAATATTCGAAGATTGACGCCATCTTTTGAATCATTTAAAAGGTGTAGTTTTTTTCCTCAAGCATCACTCCTCTTGTCAAAAAGAGATGAGTTATTTCAGATCATTGACCTGACAAGTGTGTAGCGATTGCTGTCAGCAGCTGTCGCCAATCTCTCTGCATCTCCCTCCTTTCATTTATTTTCCTTTGGTGCGTGTGTATATGTGTGTGTGTGTGTGTGTGCGCGCCTAGCCCCCTGCACTATTATTATTGTGAATATTGTGCAGACATTTGTGAAAACCCCTTGTAGCACAAGATGATAGGTCAATGAAAAAAACCACAAAATGTGGCAAAGACAGAAAAAGAGAGAAAGAGAGAGATTGCTTTTTCTAAGAAGAGATAAGAAGAGATACATCTAATTTTGCAAATCACACTGGATCAAAAATCTATTTCTTCTGTAGTGTGTTTCACTCATGTGAGGGTTTGCATAACTACAAACGTAATTCTAGTCTTGCTCATTTTATAATGTGGTGCTGTTATAGTATAGAGTATTCACTTTGTGTCGTGTTTGAAAAAAGTGATCCATGCATGCATTTGTCTGTACTAATGAGACTTTTTTTTTAGATTTCATGATGAATATAGTAATAGGTCTCACATATCTGTTTACTATTTAGAATGGCCTAATAACACAGCACAACTCCAAGGGCATTTCCATGAATATGTACAGCAGTGCATGAGTTGTTATACTTTGACCTTTATAGTTACTTAAAACAGAAAACCTACATTTTCTCTGTAGCTTGAGTGTGTGGTTTTTTCACAAACTACATGATTTAAAAAATGGAGTTGACTTAGAGCTATGAGGTTACTGAACTCAAAATATTGATTAAATCTGAATTTGACGTATCGTGACCAGCTGATGATTTATCTTGAGAAGAGTTGCCACTCAGTATAGCAAAATAAAAACAAATGAGAGGATGGAGTTTCTTAACACTGAATAAAGTCAACTCCTCTGCAACATCAAATCCAGTTAGAGGAGGGACTGACAGCTTTGTGAGCTGCCACGGTGTTACATCTAAGTGTTGGTACAAATTGGTGTCATTGCAACTGTCCATTACCGGTTTGCACAAATTTCTTTGTGTGGTTTGTCCTTTTGAACAGATGCGTTTTCTGTACAATCTCCATAAATCCTACTGCTGATTATAACACATATGGTAATCAGTTTCCCACACATATACGTGTATATGCTATAACATTATAACAATGTTCTCTTAAATGTTTAATGTTCATCTTGAAATTTCAAGTTCACTCTCAAAATTGTATCTTTTTATTTTAATGCAAAATAAAAAACATCTTAGTTTTTTTCTCTCATGCCTGGCTCAATACCCTTCTGTTGGGTGCACTGTTTCAAAGACTGTTGACAAGTTTGCTCATGTTATCATTGTAAACTGCTGATCCAGAATGAAATTGGCTTATTCAAAGTTTAGATTTTTTGTAAATTCCTGAGTCAGGTCCAAAGTGTGGTGGAACCCCTTGTGGCAAATGACCTTTTATTGTGGTACAGATTTATCTGGCACACACACAAACACAGTTCTCTGCCCACTCTGATGCAAACTAAACAGTGTACAGTAAGGTTCTGAGGATGACATCATGAGACAGTGGGTCAGTCGTGGGTTTTGGATGAGAGGAGGACCCTTACTCATAAATTAGACTCATGCCAGACTCATTGGTTGTGACTCATAAGTCCGAGTTTAGTACAAGAAGCCACAGAGTCGATACAGTGCTTGTAAATGTGCACAGTTTGAGATGATACAATGGCCACGACAATGTTTCAGTGCATAACAAATGCATGTATATTATTTGCATCATGTGCTCAATCAACTGAACAATATTTGCTCTCCCTCTCTCCTTCTCCATCCCTCTCTCAAACACACACACACACACTCATAAAGAAAAACACACACATGCACGCTCACACACTTGCAGTGAAGAGTTTGGGCGCATCTCAAAGGACAGCTTCTGCATGAGTTGGTCCATGGTGGAGAGGAGGAGACCTTACAGCTGTTTGGAGCAGAATATGCCAGCCATTGACAGTGTGCCAAACGAGGCAAGAACTGCACGCACACACACACACACACACACACACACACATACACACACACAGGGAGGGAGGGAGAGGGAGAGAGAGAGAGAGAGAGGGAGAGAGAGAGAGAGAGAGCTATGAAACCCTCCTCGAGAATCTCCTGCAGACATGGTTGATTATGAATTTGCCTTGTCCATGTGCAGTCCTGACTGAAGCAGTAAGAAACCCACTCATCTACACCAAAGTTAAAACAACCTTTTCTTCCATGTTTGTCCTGGTGACCAGTCAGCCATACAGACGAGGGTTCATTGTTATTAACAAGGTAAATGTCAATCGTCGCCCGGACAAAAACCTTTAGTGCTTGGAGCCGTGTAAACAAACCAAACTGACAGACATGTGGTTTTTTTTGCTGGTGTTGTAATGTGGAAAGAAATTCACTGCAGGCCATTAGGTAATGAAGCATGATTGTTATAAACCCACAATGCAGTGTTTCATGGTTTCACACTACTCAGTCTAAGGTCAGCTGCATGTATCTCAGGCTGGGTGCAGGATGCTGTTGATGATCATCTTTAAAATTAACAGGGATCAAATTTTAACTCACTAGCTGTTGGTTTTTAATTAGCTGCAAAAGTTAATTACATAATAAATACATAATTTTATATGCTACTTCCAGACAGAAACACTGAAGATACAAATATCTCAGTGCCTATAATCTCCAAACTGTTGGGATTGTGGACAGTTTTTTCGGACTACTTCCTGGAATCTCTGCCTGTGTGACTTCTTCTGATGTCTAGTCTGTTTCTTGGAAAACCCTAAGTCTGAAACCAAACATCATGCGACAATTATCTTAGTCTTGCTATACATTTAACAGTAAACGTCCATCATAATGCTGGCTAGTTAGTTTCAGTGACCACGTTGACATGGGAACCAATGATCTGACAATTGACCTATTATGAATAATATGTGATTATAATGTTTATATGAGCTGCTAATAGAATGTTTCATCCATATTCCAATACACCCAGCATAGTCGGATTATGTCTCACATTAAAATTCATCCTACAACTTGTTTCACTCAAACCCAGTGCCGTATGTCAATGTTGCAAAATACTGTGAAGACTCCAATAGGACGTTATAATGTGATGAAGACGTATACATATCGACATAATGCGACAAGGGTTAGAATAGTCTTAGTTTGGTTATGGTTATGATCGTATTCAGGTTAAGGTAATGACAAAATGTTGTTCACGTGGCAGTGTCTTATTTTTTCACACAGAATATTGGTGTCCATGTAAACGTCCATCCAATGTCAGACTGATTACCTTTAGAGTTAATTATAAATACCTGTCTATCGCGTCAGCTTGTGTGAATGGCAATGGTAAAATGTTAAATGTCCAGTGGGTAAGATTTAGGTGAACGGAAAGTATTGGCAGAAATTTTATGTAGAACAATCCTCACTATTTCATTTCATTTCATTTCATTAAATTGTATGAATTGTAGTTTTCTTTACACCAGAAAAGGCCCTTTATATTAAAATACTTAATATTTACATCGAGGGGACCCTCTCTACGGAGGCCGCCATGTTTTTTACATTAGTCCAGACTGAACAAACTAAACACCTTTTGAGTTTTCATGACAATTAAATGCTACCACAGTTTCTTTCTCATGATTGGAAGGGGAGGGTGAGGTGAGGGATATGCAGCTGCAACATGCAATTTCAACACTAGACATCACAAAATTCTACCCACTGTAACTTTAAAATTAGGTTCTCATGTATATTTTTATTTTCATAGCAAGATCATCCAAGCAGGAATATTGCAACTCTCCTTCTAGAAATGGCCCTGCACCTTATTGAGCTCTGTCAGGTGATTGGTGGATCAGTGTGTCACCGGATGTCACAGGACAGTGTGCAGTCATGCTCACACAATCACACATGCTGCCCATCTGCCACACACACACATGAAGACACACAGAGGGAGATATGACAGAGTGTTATCTTCATCATCGAATGGTGCTCTGGATCGACCGCTTTCTTCTTTGGCTTCAGCCCACAAATATCACAGCGAATCTGATCAAACACACAAAACAGATGCACTCGGGGACTCACCTCACTAACATACATCTGACCTATCTCAGCTAAAATGTGTCTGATGACAGTGGGTTTGAGTGAAAGGGCTTACTCCCCTTCGCATGCAAAAATAAATAAATCTGCATTTATTAGATTTTTCTGGGGCGGAGAGTCTCTGCACATTTGATGGCATTTATAAAAGTGGCACACACACACACACACACACACACACACACACACACACTAGTTGGTGCTTCTATCTTATTGGGGACACTCATGGACATAATATACTAACTAAATGCCTATCCCTGACCTAATTCTAACCCTAACCGTAAAAAAGTCTTAACCCTCAAACAACCCATTGAAAAAGTGAGTCGGGCCAAAATGTCCTCACTCTGTGGATCTATCCTTAAAATGGTTCTCACAAAATATAAGACAGAGGGAGAGAATGAGAGAGAGACAGAGAGAGAGAGAACTGAATAGCCTCTATGGCTAATTTCTCTAAACTCACATCAAAGGAAATCACTTATCTCTTTTTTTTCCTCAGGCGTCTCTGCACTGTACAATAAACACGAGAGTCACCCACACAGACAGAGGTAGTAAAGCTTTGATTCAGTCAGAGCGAGGACACCCCGTTCCCACAGTTCATCCCTCATATATATAATTTCACTCGGGGGGAAATAGGACAATATCCTTGGTGGACTGGCACACAAAACGCAGCTGGTTTGGCGCAATAACGCATCCAAAATACGCACAACTGAAACGCTTCATAACGGGTTTCCAGTGCCCTTTGGTTCCCACGGAGCTGTGGATCCTTACATAAACTTGAGCCATTTAGTCATGGTGAAGATGATTGCGGGAATAAGGTCCGCTTACTGTGTGTAAGCCAAACTAACACCGACATTTACGCGCAAAAGCCAGCAGATGAGATCAATTTTAATTTCACCACAAAGGTGCAGGGATTTATCAAGACAAACAAGTAGACGCTCATCACATCATATATGTTTCATTATATAATATGATTCCTTCATGTATTTACATTGATCAGTGAAGTTATTTCATGCAAAAAAGCAAAGTTCAACTCACCCATTCCAAAACCCGAATAAATCCAAGAGGCAATTTCAGAACCTGAAACGTCCCCACAGATACAAGCTGCAGGAGACACAGAGAGAGGAAAGCAGCGCTGTCATTTCTATCATCAATTAACGACACGTTGGCCAATTTAGAGCATAATTACGCACATCTCTGCGTCAAAACCACCTTTATTACGTTAAATTACGCACCTGATTGGCGGTGTCCATTTCAGCAGGAGGATACTTCTCTTTCTCACTCGGTGAACTGGATGTAAACAATCTCAAACCACAAGACAAGACCAGATTGACGACGAGACCGTGGCGCGTATCAGACAGGACCCTCTCGGCTCTGATTCCGACTCTGACCGGAGAAAGCCGAGCGCTCTTCGTTTTTTTTCTTCTTCTGGGGGAAAGACTTTGCCGTGGACACGAGGTTGGATTGAAAGAAGACTGACGTCTCCATGTTTTTTTTTCGATTGGAGGGAACAAACTTGTTATTTTATGTTTTTAACTTCCAATACATCAGCATGATATTAAGCTAAAATGACTGTGCCTACATGCTCCTGCTTAGTCTCAAGGCTTTAAGTGATGTGTTTTAAAACAATACAGATGGATGGCCCATATGATGATAATATGAATCATAATCATAATAATCATTTTAATAACTGACAGTAGGCGGCTATAGCTGCAGCGATAAGACATCCATTAAACAAACATAACATTCAGTTAGTATATTTGATCATGAAAATAGCCATAGTATCCAAACGAACTTGACTTCATAAAATAATATTTCCAAATACCTCTTCTCTAATAGAAGAAAAGTCATGTTTATGCTGAGAAAACAAAATTAAGTTGTAATTCTTGCTTTAATGTAACACTCTGACAAGAGTAAGATGATAAAATCTTTGTTGTCTTCTCATGACACAAAGAAATAAGAAAAAGAGTTGTGTCCCGATAGAAAAAAGGCTTCTCATTGCGCTGACATTCGAAGATTTACAAAGATTATATCACAGACAGCACCTTCTGCAGAAGTCTACCAAAATTAAGATGCTAACCAGCTAGCCTCTTCCCCTCCCATCTTGTAATAGTACTTTGTACCTCAAGAAGTGATAGCGAGACAGGGTAGCATGTTGTCTGGCCTTAGTGCAACATGAGTGGATGAAGTAGGTTGTGTTGCATCTGATGGTGGAGGGAGTAGAGACTCGTCATCCATCTTTATATAGTCTATGATTTGGAAACATGTCAACAACATCAATTTCAGGGTGTCTCTTTAAATTTATTTGTGTAGCCGGATTCTTTGTAGACTGACAGAGGTACTAGTTACTGACTAAACCTTCAAGTAGCAGTAGTTGTAACAAATAAGTCACAACATTTACCCGCTGGAAACATGAATAACGTTTGCAGGTTAATGCAATATATGACAACCAGGAACCAGCCAGGGAGCCACACACACACACACTCAGGAAACTTTGTAGGACTAGTTGCTGTTTTGTTCAGATGCAGGAGCTCAGTCAGTTAGTCGTCTAATGAGTTCTCCCAGGCAGAGAGAGAGCAAGCGAGCGAGAGCGAGCGAGCGAGGGAGAGAGAGAGAGAGACTGGAGGGGGGCTTACTTGAGTCTGCTACACTGTAAAGCCAAGTGCAAACTGCTCTGACAGCGTGACTAATTTTACAGCATCGCCCCTATCGCTTCTTCGCCTATACTCTTTAATTTCCCCCCTGCACCGTCTCTGTCCCCCTCTCCCTCTAATGCACACAGGCACACACAAGTACACACACTGCCTGCCTGAAGGGTTCTGTCCATGCGATTAAGGAATCATTGAATCTGATTGGCTAATATTTTCACCATAGGAAATCAGGATCAGAGCAAGAAGAACGAGTCGCATGTGTATTTCGTCCTTTTACTCAGGATCTGATTCCGATTATGAGCCAAATTGACTGGATTTCATGGCGGGCTGTCGTTTGACTGCACTGCATGACATCATGGAAATATTATGCAGATAATCGACTGCAGAGAAAGAAATCTGTGCTATATAGGATGGTGATTGTTTTTTTTTTGGTTAAGTCAAATTGACCTTTAACTTTTTCCATATGAAGAAATGTTAATTCTGCTACCCTAGTTTACCAAACTGATATAACATGATCTTATGTGCATTTAATCAAACAGCAGCTGCTATGGCTACATGTGCCAATTACAGGAAAATGAAAAGTCAATCATCACCTCATTTACCACAATTCTTCCGCTTTGTCCATTCTGGGCAAGGTTTCACCTGTTTCATCAGCAATTTTTCCCTTTGGAATCGTTGCTCCTTCGTGTTGAAAGGAGGTCTTCTGTTGGAGGTGTACCAGCAAGCCAAACTGGGACGAGACCCCGTGGTAGACCCAGATCTCGCTTGAGGGACAACATATCCCATCTGGCTTAAGAAAGCCTTAGGGTCCCCTAGGAAATGCTGGGAAGCTAGGCTAGCTAGAGGGACATCTGGGATACCCTTCTTGGGCGACTGCCTCTGTGACCTGAACTCGAGCCCTGATAAGTGGAAGGACAATCGGCTTTGGAACTGACAATGTCAGAGAGTCTCAAAGTATGCAAACTGAGTGTGTAATACTATGCAGCAATACTCTTAGTGCATATTTCATAGCTTTGACTCAGTGTCCTGTCTGGGAATATATGACTATTTGAAGCACAAATCACTGTGAACACACCAACAGTGAAGAGCTGCTGCCACATCTGAATTCATCATGGGGAATAAAAATCTACAGACACAAAGCACCTGGTTCTCAGATGATGTAGCCAATCATCTCTACACTAATCTGCAGTGTGTTTCAAAATATGTACAACTGGTATTTAGCTGCGTAACCAACTTCCAGTCCGTTACCTGTCACCAGCCTGTTACTGTGTATATATGTGCTGAAGCAACCTCATTTCCTTGCTTGAGGGGGGAAATGGGGAATAACCTGTGACTTATAGAGACAGGTGTCAAAATGCATTTCATGAAACTGAAAGGTAATGCAGACTCAGGCAGGAACACACCTGGGTAACGTAGCTAAAGGCCAGTGTGTGTGTGTGTGTGTGTGTGTTGAAGACAGAGCACAAGAGGAAATAGAGCAGCAGATAATAAGCATGGAGGAAGATGCAGAGTTTGGATGCACATTCTTTCTGCAGGACATGCATGCATTTTGGCCCCCGAGCCTCATCACACACATCCACCAGGCAGCAGAGCAGCAGTATTGGAGCAATCACCATTCTTCTTCTTCTGGTTAATCCTCTTTCAAATTGTGACACACAGAGGAATTATAGCACAGAGACTAGGTCAGCCACTTATCCATCTCATCCAACAATGCAACACGCCGGGACCCCACAGCAATTACTGCTGAGCTGGAGCTGCTGCCAGAGCATGTCCACATCCTCATGGTGCTGATGCAGTTTCAAATGCAACATTGGTTACAAATGCTTGGTTGCAGAAACATCCATGCAACCAGAAATTTAGTCTTTTAAATTGTTATAATCGCATGAAGAGACGAAAGGGTTAACATATGGAAAGAATCCTTAGAAGGTTAGATAAACAATAACTGTCATTTAGGTGAACAACAACAGAAAATAGGTTTGAGACTCAGGCAAACCTGAATATGCTCTGCTCATTATCCTCAGTTAAATTTCACAGTTGGCCGAATTTGGATGGATTCATATATTTCACACTCGCTCGTTAATTAAACCTATCCTCATACGCCTGTGACGACACAAAGCAATGAAACGTGATTAGATACCGGAACAAAAGACGGGCTTTGGAACTGTTTCTGGGTAAAATGGCATTAGCACTGGTCTCATTCTTCACTGGTTAAACAGAGTACATAATCAGGATTAACTGTAGCATGATAGAGAGACATTGAGAGGGGGAGGAGAGACAACCATGGGAAGAGAGTATTCATTCTCAAAGTCCCTTTTAGACAGAGACAGATAGCTGGTGTAGTTGTTGTCATGTGATGAAGACACAAGAAGCACTTTTGTCTCCATAACAAGTGAAGCTGCTTTAGTTCAGTGGCAGGGTTTACTAATACTCAGACGTCTGTCAGTAGGTGATCTGATGGGATGAGGGAGGAGAAAAGACCAAACTGTATCCCCAGTGTAAACCTGCCACCTACCTCCATTCCTTCCCCGCGGCTGAATATAAGAACTCCAGACCTCTGTATGATTTCTGAGGTTAAGTAATGAAGGTTGCTCAAAAATAACTCTTCTTTCGTGCTACAAAGATATTGAACAACTCCAAGATAACCGACATTGTCATGTGGTCACAGGTGTTATCACCTTCGCCCCTTCGTTTTCATTGTATGTCAGTAAGCAGCATTACACGAAAACTAGGATGCGATACGTGTCAGAAAAGTAGCCATTTAATCGATTTTGGTGTGGATCCCAAAAAGTAGTAATACATAATAAATATATACTGTACGCAATAGAACATTTTGAAAAACATGCAACAGAAAGGTAATAAAATTGATGGGAAGCCAGAGTTTGGATGATAAGATGTCTGGGTGTGATGTGAGAGGACCTGGTGGAGACAAGCAGAAGTGTTGGACTACTTAAATATGGTCCAGAGAGGATTTATTGAGGCAGGACAAACACGAAATTCCAGTCAGCTTAACAGGATGAAATAAAAGTGTTAATGATCATCAGTAGCTCTGTTTGTTACAAAAAGGTAATTTTGTTTTGGCTCACACTGCTCAGAGGTGCAGACCAGTTGAAGCAGGTTGTATCCATGTGAGCGTGTTAAAAACTGATTTATGGATAAATACAGCCTCACAGAGCTGCAAGTGGATGTAAACACTAAGTCTTGTTTTACTCCGTCTACTCCAAGGTCCCTAAACTTCGTGGAATAGATGGAAACCACTTTCAATGGCCAAAGGAGCCTGCCTCTTTTCTGAAGACGCATGTAAGGAGAATTTTCAGCTGTTAGAGTGGATGCATGCGAAGCAGTGGACAAAAATTGGGAGATTGAAGAGGCGGACTTGTAAGTAATCATGGTTGGTATGACAGTGCTGTAGATTGCATCCTCAGATTTCGTTGCAAAGAACAGAAGGGTTTTTCTTCACGCTCTCACACTTTGGTGTCTGCTGTAAAGTGAGAACATGTTCAGAGTGAAATGATCACAGCTAAAAGGTGATAACAGCACGTTTCATTTCCAGTAACATGGTTGCTGTGTAAAACACAAGAATGCAGGAATATTGTGGCGTTGACACACACTCTCCCTG